GGAAAGACGGGGAAGGTCCTCGTGGTCAAGACCAGAGGAAGTAGAGGAAATAGAGAGGCGAGTGGAGATGGAGGATGTCACCGACTCAGCTTCGCTGTCGTGGAGAAGGGGGAGGCTGAGCGATGGATCGATTGAAGACTTGGAGTAGTTGAGGAGAAGATGTCTGAATGATTTGCCCCTAGGGCTCTTCGCTACTGGTATCGGCTCAATTATTCCAGGAGTAGCAGCTTCCGGCGAATATGCGGGCTTCGACTGATCGGAAAGCATCTTCGGGTTCTGCAACTTCTTGAAACCAAGCAGCTCCCTCCACCTCGTCGTGCATCTCGGTGCTTTCGGGGAGAAAACTAACTCATTCGATCCGACCTCCGTTCCGCACCACAGCTTCCCATCCGACCCCGTGGAGTGATTCTCCCCTTCCGAGGTGCGCAACGTTGTCAGATGGAGCGGCACGAGCTTTCCATCGGAGAAGAGCTCGTCCGCGGGCAGCATGGCGACGGGATCGTCAAGATGGAATTCGAAATCGATGAGATCCGCAGAGCTTCGGGAGGAATCCACCGTCGAAACGGCAGAATGCGATGTATTAGCAACTACGACGTCCACCGTGGTAGGGGAGATGTTAGTTCTGAGAACGCCGTAAGATGATTGGCTGGCTGGGGGGAAGGATTCCGGCGGGAGGGTGACATTGTTTACGCAGGCAGAGGCCATCATTTGTCATCAATGAGCTGGGTTGCACTGGTTGCAGCGAGGGATTTCGCCGGAGTTGGGGACGGCAGAAGGAGACCCCTGCGAGAGAAGATGGAGAGGGGCCGTGTGTTTTGACCTTTGTAGGGTTTCTTGGGGCCTACAAATTTGTTTTAGGGTTCTCGGGGAAGACGAGAGGGAAGACGTGAGGACTAGGTACCCTTCCGCCGTTGTGGTTAATGCTAAATAAATTAAGTCGTTAAGTTTAATTAAATTCTTTTATTTGATTAAAATGATTAATTTTAAAGAGAAAATAATACTTTAAGTAAAATAAGGGTCACGTTCAACATTACATAAAAATAATAAAAAGGTTACATATAATCAACCAAAATAAACATTTAAATACATTAAAGGAGGAATAATTGTTGAATATAACGTTTATGAGTATATAAAAAAGTAAAATCTAAAAAATAGAGCCTAGGGTTTATATGAAGAATTAAGCACTGAGTTTCATCGATGGTTATCTCACAGGAGCATCCCGATGCCTTGAATGATGATTAGTGAGAGGGCGTCACTGATCCCGATTTTCTATATAGATAGATGTAAAATGCGATGTATGTGATTAATTTCCTTAATAGATATTCTTAATTTGCAACAAAGCCAAAAACTTGATCCAAAACAAAAGATAGATAAATCTTTCACTATGAAGCAAATGAGAATGCAGTTATAATATTTCAATATGGAATACTACGCAGGTATAAGTATCATTATCAAGTAATATAGAACTTTCTGATTAAGTCTTGAATATCGATCCCACAGAGAGGACTAATTTTAGATAACAAAATTTACTTAGCAATATATTTTTACTTAAACTTAAGATGCTAAAATAGGAATGAAAGTTTGATTTTTTTGTAATTTTTGATAATTGAAAAAAAAGTAAACAACAAATTAACTTAACTAAAATACTCGCAAGATGAAAACAATATTAATAACATATCTTTTTCTTTATCATGAATCAATGATAAATATAGAAATTCTGTTGTGGAAGTATGCTAAATGTGTTGTGTCAAATAGGAGCAATAATATTTTTTACCCTTACTAAAGATGTTATATAAAGAATATTGGTTAATCTATAGTTTTAATAGTTTTGAAGACCGGTTAGGCAGGGAAGATACTAGCTCTCAGTTTAGAGTTTCCTCTTCTCCCTCCACCTCGGGGCTAACATCTCGTATTAAAACTAAAAACTATAAATCAAATTGGGGGCTTTAGTCTGCCACTCTAAAGTCATCTAATTCTACACCCTTTAAATATATTTTCTTATTTATTTGCACTAAACCCCATGAATTACATTCTTATTCATGAAATCAATATGTGATTCCAACCATTTGTTGACTGAGACAATACCATCTCGGATTTTATATGTTCTCACAACAAATATTAACATCTTAATTGGTCAAATCAAGAAGTAGATGAAGTGCAAGGTTTCAAATCATAACAACTTCTTGCAACATTGAAGTTTAATACTTCACACAACTTTCTTTTAAATATTTAATCACTTATCATTTAAAAAAAAAGATTTAGAAAACTACTCGGAATTCATGAAAAAAACACAACCACACATGAGTTTAAAAGTGGAAATCATGCACACAAATAATAAATCTAAATTAAAACCAAGTGTAGACTCAAAGATAAACAATTATCTGGAATTCTCTCCACCAAATGTCTTAAATTTCCTTTGAATTCTCTTCCTTCTCTCACAATACAAACTAAAACTAAAAATAAAATAAAATAAAGTAAAGGTGAACGGAGACGGCGACAATGGGCGGTGGCGGCAGCGGTGGGCTATAAGTTTGATGAATGGCTGGCCTCTGGCGGCTGACTTTGATGATCCAAGTCTTCTATAATAAAAATCCAAAATGTGTCTTGTGTCCCTTTAAAATGTGTCTCCATTCAATGAATCTTCTAGAAGTTGTCTCCTTAAAAAACCAATTGAACGAATTTTCCTGTGCTAGGCTATTTCCCACGTTTTTATCAAGGGTTGCTTCAAACACTTGTTCAAAAATCTGCCCCAATTAAATAAATCATCAAGTAACTACTCTGACGCTTAGGCCAGTGTCTCTAGCGCTTAGGCGCCCCAGTTCATTTTTACACTTTTTCTTCATTTTTGCTCCAATTTTGACACTTTTTCATTCCTTTTAGCATTTTTCATTCATTTAATTTTACCTGCAAGAAAAACACAAAAATACCTTTTATTAAAGCGTAATATCTCAAAAATAGGTATAAAAATGTGTATGAAAATACTATACATTTTAGGTGTATCAAAATCCCCCAAATTTAATATGTTACTTTTCCTTAAGTGACATTCCAATCTTTAAAAACTAACATAAGTAGAAAATATATGAGTTTCTTTAGGAGTTACTAAAATTTTGATGTAGAAATATTGTTGTCCAATTTGGAAAAAATATTAGTAAATGAGACCAACTTAAAGTTTAAAAACTTTTAATGTTAAGAAATATAAAAATATCATTTTTTATCTAATTCAGAAATATTGTAGATTTTCCAAATATAGACATTTTATCATCTACACTCAAAAATTTGTATTAAGCATAATTCTCACTATATTATATCCTCAAGCTTAAGAGTTTCTCAAGTTTTATACTTTAAAAAGATCAGATGTGAAACCAATTTTTGATTAGGCACTAATTCTCAAGCTTCTCCTCCCCTTTTTAAAATTTTCTTTTCTTTTCTTTTTTTTTTCTTTTCTTTTTTTTTTCATTTTCAGGCAAGGATTACTACATCTGGATAGGTCTTTAATGATTTTGAATTCCACTCTTCTTTTCCTAAAGCAATGAATTGATATTTTTCTTTCACTTAAAAACATAATAATAGTTTTAAAAATTGATTTCAATAAAACAAACTTAAGTTTTGAAAATAAAAAAAGTCTAAATTTCTAAATTTTTCAAAAATTCAATTTTTCCTACTAAAGATAGTTACACAACACTTAGCATTTTCTACACTAACCAAAATTTAACTTTAAGTTTTTCTTCATTATTATGAGTTTTGACTAATTTTTCTTACTCATTTATAAAATTAAAATTGCACTCCCCTATTATAACTTCATATACATAATTATTTTTCAAACCAAAATCAAATTTATTAAAAATATATTTGAGAACAAATGAACTTTTAAGTTTCTTTAAAATTTTTCATCCCCCCAAACATAAGTTTTTAGTAGAAATAAAACATTTTAGCATCATATATAAATAAGCAAGAATTAAAACTAACTGTAACATTGTCGGCACTATTTTGGTTGGAGTTGCCCGTAAGAAGCTGTCGGTCACCAAAACTGTAATCCCGTTGCCCTCTTCAGAAGGACTAAGGGTGTAAACGAGCCGAGCACGAGCGAGCTCAGACCCAGCTCGTGTTCTATGTAGTGGAGTATAACATAAAAGCAAATAAACAAATTAACAGTCATACATGACTACAATATAAAGAAAAATAATTGGTAGTAAATTACCGTTCACGAACAAATAGTCATTTTGACAACTCTAATCGCTCAGTCATATGATGTTAAGGATGGAATTAAGTTTAACAAACACTAACTAAATACAACAAAACAACACAATAAACACAATTACTACCACTCAAACATACTAATTATACACAAAAATCCAAATATATCACAGTAGGTGTACTAAACAAAACATAACAAGTAAAACTAAGAATCTCAACAATCTCAACTACAAACAACAAAGTACAGAATACCTGTACCATCAAAAGTTCATAACAATACATAAACATAAAATAACATAAAACAAAAAATAAAACTAAAAAAACTAAAAATCCAACTAAGCATCATCTTCCTCATCACTATCATCACTACGCCAAGCAGCAGTAGGCTCATTTGGTGAATATCTTGGGTACTGAGAAAATGCTACATCTCGATTACCTCTATTGAGATGCTTCATAGCCGTGTTGCATTCCTCCTCATAATTGCTTCTTCTTCTTATATGCCCATCCTCATGCTCAGCAAAATGCTCTAAATTTAATACCTTATCCACAGTGTGATTGACATTATCTAAAATCCTTTATAATAACTCAGTCTAAGACTTAGATCTTGAAGTCTGACCTCGTGATGTAGAAGCATGTGAAGTAGAGGCTCGTGAAGTAGAGTCAGCAGAAGTACTGAAGAATCCACCCTTTCAACAGAAAAGAGAATGATATAAATAAGTCTTCACATTCACACTAGTAATGGGCTTCAGTGGCTGTAGGATCTCCTCCCAGCTATCATATCTAACACTAGCCTACTCACATAATGAAATAATCAAGGAGGCGAATCCCAAACCTGCAGTAGTAACAACAAATGCAGAACTAGTAATAACTCAAGAAATCAATCCTCCAATATCAATTGGCTTGGACTGCTGAATATAGTAATTCAAAGTTGCTCTCTCTCGAGTCACTTTACTCAAATGATTTGTAGGTGGCAGACGAGCAGAGATAAAATAGTGCCATGCCTTTGCATTGGCATCCAACTTTGAAGTAGAAAATTTCACCCTTCTTTCATTTGAAATTTTCCATAATCCTCTCCCAACAGTCAAACATGATATATTCTCGTCTAGATCCTCCTCAGTAAGATTATAGTTTGAATAAAAACATAAAGTACTCGAGGACCGATGGAAAAACTGATTAATTACCTCAGGAGAAAATGATATTGTCTCCCCTCACTATGACTCCTTCCTTATCAGCCTCTGAGAGATTAGCATAGAACTCTCATACAACAAAGATCATGATGACAACAAAAAAATAACAAAGCCACTCCCAATGGCAGCTATCAATCAAATCCTCTACTACTCCTCCCAGACTTTTGAAACATCACTCAGGAATTAATATCCTTGAATGCAGTGCATTGCTATACCAATCTTGAGCTCTCAAACTAACAAATTTACTCAAATTGAACAGAGCTTTTCCCTTGATTCTCTTCATTAATGGTGCCATTTTATAAAAAATGTATAAAACTCAAAATAAATTCCATAATTATCTCAAAATCACTAAACTCAACTCCTAAAAGCTTAAACTAACAAATCTATGCATTTTCCATCAAATTTTCTCAAATTTTTCACCATGATTTTTCTCAAATTTTCATCAAATTTTCTCAAATTTTTCACCATGAATAGTGATTTTTGGGTAGATTATGAATATGCTCAAAATACATGGTGAAAATCACAAA